AGAGGCTAAGGACATTTACCCATCCTAATAGCCATTGATGGACCTAACCTCCATGAATTTATCTAGTTCTTTTTTGAACCCTATTAAAGTCCTGCTCATCACAATGTCCTGCTTTTGTAATCTGTTAGGTTAGATAGGCTACACCGCCCTTAGACAAGGAACTATAAATAATAGAAACTGAAGTGTTGTGTACAAACAGCAAGCTGCAGAATATTTACCATTGAACAGTTAGGCTGTGTCTACACTGACGTGATCTCGCGCAAAAGCGGCCACTCTTGCGCAAAAACTTGCTGCCTGCCTACACTGGCCACGTGTTCTTGCACAAGTAAACTGACGTTCTAATATATAAAATCAGGGCTTCTTGCGCCAGAACTCTGATGCTCCTGCTCAGGAAGAAGCCCTTTTGCGCAAGAGCTCTTCCAGAAGAGGCCAGTGTAGACAGACAACATAAATTTTTTGCGCAAGAAAGCCCTATGGTTAAAATGGCCATCAGAGCTTTCTTGCTCAAGAGAGCGTCTACACTGGCATGGATGCTCTTGCGCAAAAGCACATCTCTTGCATAAAAGCACGTACCAGTGCAGACGCTCTCTTCTGGAAGAGTTTTTGCAGAAGAATTCTTCCGCAAAAGAGTTTTTGTGTGAGAATGCGCCAGTGTAGACGTAGCCTTATAGTGTTGCATATGGCTCTTGCAACTTGATCTCTGACTTCATGACAGGTTTCCTCCCTTTCATATCTAGCTTGGACAAGGAAGCAGAAGAAAATAAAGCCCAACTATGTTCTCCAAGGCTACGTCTAGACTACATCTCTTTTTCGTAAAAGGGATGTAAATTAGACGTATCGCAATTGCTAATGAAGCGGGGATTTAAATCTCCCCTGCTTCATTAGCATAAAAATGGCTGCCGCTTTTTTTCCACACGCAGCTTTGTCGGAAAAAAGCACCAGTCTAGACGCTGATCTTTCAGAAAAGGCTTTATTTTCCACAAGATCCCTTATACCTCTAAAGGGATCTAAAGGGATAAGGGATCTTTCGGAAAAGGCTTTATTTTCCACAAGATCAGCATCTAGACTGACGCTTTTTTCCGACAAAGCTCCGTGCGGAAAAAAAGCATTAGCCATTTTTATGCTAATGAAGCAGGGGAGATTTAAATCCCCGCTTCATTAGCAATTGCGATACGTCTAATTTACATCCCTTTTACGAAAAAGGGACGTAGTCTAGACTAGCCCAACAGTTTATTCTTTCATGTTCTATGTCAGTGATTCTCAAACTTTTTACTCAGGTCAGTGTATTTCAAACGGGTCTGCAGACCCCTGAGAGCCCACAAGGCTACTCTGGATCAACCCTTCCCTTGCCTCCCAGTGCCTCCTGTATGTTGCAGAACAGCTTTTTCAGCAGTGTGCAGGAGGCACTGGAAGGAAGGGGAAGGAGAGGAGATGGAGCACACTCGGGGTGTATGATGAAATCATGTCAGGGGCTGCTAGCCCCGCTGATCAACCACTTCTCCTCCTTCCCAGTGCCTCCTGCATGCCATGGAACAGCAGTACAGCAGGGAGGAAAGACATGGGGAAAAGGAGGAGCAAGGGTGGGGTCTTGAGGAAGGGGTGAAGTGGGCAGAGCCTCGGACTGAGTGGGGTGGAGGAGGCATGGGAGTCTGAGAAATTTTAAATGAAAAAGGGGGTTCTCTGGTTGCTCAAGTTAGAGAGCCACTAATTAGGTAATACACCAACTAACTGCGGTACTTTTTGCAACCCACTTAGGTTCATATTTGGGAGGGGGACAAAATGAGAGACCTCCTTGTTCTGCTGGAGGGCACCAACCACCCACACCAGTGCCCTCTGCCTTGGCACTACAACCTGAATCTTGGCCTAGTGTGGAGAAGAGGCCTGGGGGCAGGAGTTGAAGAATAAGCCCACCCTGCACTCAGACACCACCAGTAGCTGCTCCTGCTCTATGGACTTGGCCTAGCTACTCACTGTGGGTGTTGTGTTCTGGTGCATGGGATTGCAGCACCACCCACGTCTGGCCCAACAATCATGACTCTCAAACCCTGGAGCAAGGAATTGTGCCCATCCCCGTGGGACAGGAAACACAGCTTTGGGAGTGCAGGATGGGCTCACTTTTCCAACACTCTGCCTCCTCTCTGCACCAGGTTCACAGCCCATATAGAACTTTATTGGGATCCACCATTTGGGAAACGTTGCTCTATGTGCATCACAGGCTACAAAGCGAAACTCTGATACAGAGGGGCTATGTCTAGACTGGCAAGTTTTTCCGGAAAGGCAGCTGCTTTTGCAGAAAAACTTGCCAGCTGTCTACACTGGCCACTTGAATTTCCGCAAGAACACTGACGATCTCATGTAAGAAATCAGTGCTTCTTGCGGAAATACTATGCTGCTCCCGTTCGGGAAAAAGTCTTTTTGCACAAAGCTATTGCGCAAAAGGGCCAGTGTAGACAGCTCAGATTTGTTTTGCACAAAAAAGCCCTGATCGCAAAAATGGTGATCGGGGCTTTTTTGTGGAAAAGCGTGTCTCGATTGGCACTGACACTTTTCCGCAAAATCTAGACGCTCTTTTCCACAAATGCTTTTAACAGAAAACTTTTCCGTTAAAAGCATTTGCGGAAAATCATGCCAGTCTAGATGTAGCCAGGCAGTAGCATGGGGTAGCAGCAGCCCCTGTCTAGGGGAAGGTCTGAGCTCCCGGACCTGGCACAAACTGAAACTGAGCCAGACTGCCTGCCTCCTAATGCACTTTAAATGCAGAGCTGCAACAGGGGGTAGGTCCCAGACCCAGAGCAAGCCAGGATCGAGCTGGGCTGCTGGCCAAGCCGGCTAAAAATATATTAGTGAGGGGGAATGAGAGTAGTTTATAGCCAAGTTTCTCAACCTTTTTTTTTTTTATAAAGTATCCTTTAAAAAATTGTAAGTACCCACAGTACCTACAGTTTTCAGACACACACAATTTTTTTCTACCATTGCAACACATTTGTTTAAACAACTTAATCGTAGCTAGGTGGGTGATGAAATGTTTGGGTGTAAAAAGTACAAAAAGAATGAAGTGCTGTACAATTTTGGGAGCTCATGCATCAATAGAATAGTTAACCACATTCTCACTGCTTGCTCCTGGGGACATGTAAAACTGTGGAAGACAACTTAAGCTACACTAATGCAATTTGATTTGAAGCAGTCTAGGAGAAGTTTGTGGCACTGGCACATAGGAAACATCCATCCACCATACAACTTACAAGTAAAAAAAGACCACACTTGATTTGGAATCACAGACTCCAATATGGAACCCAACAATAACACTTCCACATGGACTTGTTTGAAAAGTGACCCTTATTTTATTTCCATCCCACCTACACATGTTATTTCAAAACAGGGATGTAAATTAGGGTTGTAAAATCTTCTAAAAATATTAAGCGATTAAAATATAAATTGGTTACATGGTTAAACAAGCTGTGTAGCTGGCCCCGAGGTCATCTGGCCACACTGGCCTCTGGGCCCCCAAGGACTCAAGGCTATGCTGACCTCTGGTCCCCACAGGCTGCCAGCTTCACAAACTGCCTCTGGCACTGGCCCTACCAGCCACAGGAGTTTAACCGTTAACAGGAACTGATAAGCATCAGCATATCAGGTAACTGGTTAAAATTTTACATTTCTAATGTAAGTATCAATTAAAAAAGTTAACCGGTTAAACGATGGTCCTGTCGCACAGTGGGGGGACTACTCCATCTAGCTGGAGTCCAAGGTTACTACCCTGGCTGGTTCTCGGATTAACTGGTTATCGGGAAATCATGCCTGTAAGGCTAATACTTACTGGGTAACTGTTTAATCTTTAAGTCAAATTTCAAAGTTGACTCAGGCCTTGCTACACACAAAAGTTGTACTGCTTTAATGAAGCCAGTATAGCTGAAGTAGTACAACCTGCAAACACACTTATATCAGTAAAAACAAGGAGTCCTGACCAAATGGGGTTTTGCCCATGAAAGCTGATGCCCAAACAAACCTGTTGGTCTTTAGGGTGCCCTTTGATTGTTTTTGCAAATAAAGACTAACACAGCTACCCCCTCTGATAATTATGTCAGTACAAACGTGCTTACCATGGTATAGTTTATTCACATATATTAATTGGTGTAAGATACCATTATAGGAGTACAGCTGTGTCTACACTCGGGCTTCGACCCTGGCACTGTGCCACATGAAGAGTGGAAGCTCCCTGCTTCCCTTGTTCTCCACCTTTGCCTCTCCTTGCGTTGAATGGGAAAGAGATAAACAAGCTGCAGAGAGAAGTCTCTGAGGAGGCAGTGATGCCACAGCATAAGTGGGCACATCGCACTCCGCTTGCCGAGGCAGAAACGGGGAGTCTCGTGGCACCTTGTGCCACAGGACTTCTCGTTGTTGTCGTGGATACTGACTGAGGCAGGGGGTGCCCGCTGGGGGTCAGTGCCGCCACTGCCCCGGGGGGGCCAGGGTCTGTCTGGCCCGGGCCAAGGGAGCTGTGGCTTCCTGCTGCCCGCAGTCGCTGACACCGTTCCCCGCCCCCTCCTTCTCCTCAGCGTGCGGTGCTCGGCAGCCCGAGCGGCGGCAGCGGTAGAATTCAGGCGGGCTCCCCTCAGCCCGCGCGGCCATACGCGCGCCCCCCCCTCCTCCCCTCCCGCTGCGTCACCTCCGGGCTTTCTGAGGTGCCCGTCCCCGACCTCCGCGCGCGGCCCCGGGCCTTCTTCCACGAGAAGGGGCCCGGGGACCGGCGTAGGGAGGGTAAGACCAGCCCTTCCGTGATGCGTCACTTACCAAAGGGCCATCGATTCCCTCTCTCGGAAGGGAAGATATAAACAACAGGAAGTGACGAAAGCGCACGCGAGGCCGAGGTGAGCCCAGACGCATGCGCTGCCGCGCCTCCTTCGACCTCTCAGGCGGGGCCAGGGACCGCCCATGCGCAATGGGTGTTGTGGCACTCCGCGTTGCCGGAGAACGCATGCGTGTTAGCGGTGGTTCCACCCCAACAGCCAGCTACGGATCCCCTTCCTGTTGAGGGTTTTTCCATCCGGGTCACTCGGACCCTGACCGGCGGCTGCCGCCGCGCAGGAAACCCCTGGCTGTCGGAGGCTGCAGGCCCCTTCCCTGCGGGGCTGAGCGCGGTGAGTGCGTTGGGCGGGGCTTCCGCTTCCCCTCTGCTCGGCCGGTCCTCCCTGCTGGGTGCCCCTTCCTCGGCGGCCGCTCTGTCCCTTTCCTCGGCCAGTGTCTGCGGGCTGGCGGGAAAGTTCCCAGCCGGGAGCCGCCCTCGCGCGGTTCTTGCCCGGGCCTGGCCAAGCGGTGGCCCCCGGCGGCCCCAGCTCCCGCTGCTGAGTCACCCCCGCTGGGCAGCTCGGTCCTGCTGAGGGGCACATCGCGCTGGGCGGGCGCCCGGCTGGGAACTCAAGCGCCGAGCTGCCCAGGCAAGGTTGAGAGGGGCTCACAGCCACCCTACCAGCTTAGCGTAGAATGCGGCAGGTTGTGTCTGTGCCAGCGCTTTCCCTGCCCGTTTTATTTCGCCGAGCGCTGTTCTGTGTTTGCCCGTGAATAAAAGCAACAGAACCACGTCTCGCAAAAATTCCCCCAAATCTAAGTTACTTTGTTAAAAATCTCTTGCTCCCTTCCCTGGTAAAGCCAAGTGCTGCAGGGCTTCTCAGGCTGCCATCGTACAAAGTGTTCTGGCCTAAAGCTTCAAGTTTCATTTGGTAACGGTCTAAAATTGGCAAGACAATATAAGCTGTTTTTAAGGAGAACTCTTTCTTGGGATGGAGAGGAATAATTTGACTAAGGCAAGACCCACACTGGATTTGAACAAACAAATATCCATAGATGAAACAATTTGTCACAAGTTCCATTCCCATGTAAAGTTTAGGACATAGGCCAACCTGTTTTGTTGATCTTTTCTCATTTGTCCAGATGAATATCACAGTTGAGTCTTGTACTCAACCACTTCCCCTTGTGTTTACTTGCTGCTTGACTCAGTTCATAGTATGTGCATCAAACACATTATGACACATCAGTTTTTCTGGATGTGTCATAATGGCACCCAACTAATAGCTAAGGAATAAATTTGAATGAAGTCATTGCAGAGCAAGCAGCAAACACACCAGCTGGGAGATCTGAGGGGGGGCAGGTAGAAATGAGATTCTCAGGTAGCAGAATTTATCACTCTCTATTTGCTTGTTTCGTTTGTGTCTCTTGAGAATCTAATTATTTAGCTTTGGTTCTCTTTCATCTAAATTTATTCCCTTTCAGCATATCAGAGTTTGAATAATACATGAGCTTAATTAATTCTAATAACAATGTATATAGTATTATATTAGTAGCTTGAATTAAGCTTTCATTCTGGTAATTGATGTCTATTGCTCTTACACATCTATTTTTGTAATGACTTGAAAACTCCACTCTGTAGTGGGCAGTATTCCATTTATAGCTGTCATATCAAAGAGCAGCTTCATAAAGAGTTGGGAGATCATGTCTGTGTATGAGGCCTCTCCCATGAGAGCATATGGAGTCCTTACAGATTTTTCAAAAAATAGTTTTAACCATACTGGTCTAGTACTTATGTAGCAATCAAGCACTTCAATTTAAACACTGGGTATTAAAAGCTTGTTTTAGTTTGATTAAAGCCATAGAAAAATTACTAATTTGATTTGGGACAATTTATTACCAGTGAAATATTAATACATTTCAGGAGCTAGAAAAAAGCAACAGATTATAAAAATGAATGAGGGTTATATGGACTGATGTTCAGATACGCCAAGTGACAGGTAGTTACACAAACAGCAGGGGGAGCAAATCTACAAATAGTTTTTAGGCCTTAAACATGCAAGAGGATGTTAGTATAAATGCTGGGATATAAAAAGGGTCAAAGAACTGAAGTTAGGAAAGGGAAAATTTGGGCTCAGAACCTCATAGAACTTCTTGCATCTGGGATCCAGGCCTGGCCTAAACTTAAAAATTAGATCAGTGGATCTGTGTTGCTCAAGGTTATGAAAAGTTTTGTACTGTGAGTATTGTGGTTAAATAGAACTAACCCCCAGGGTGGATGCAGGTTGGGCAATGGAAGAATTATTTTGTCAGCTTAGCTGCTGTCTCTGAGGGATGTATTAATTACACAGATGGAAAACTCTCTTCCACCAGGTGTAAGAAGCATCTACACTACAGTGCTACACCATGTGGCTTAGCTGCAGTACTATAGTTGTGTCTCTGTAATATAAACATATGCCTGGTTTGTGAAGTAGCTTTCAAAGAAAAGGGTGGAAACCATATACTTGGAATTTTAAAAACAAGACAAAGCCCCAAATGCTATGCTGTAGGATCAAGGATCTTGAATTGTGCTGATAGTGGCTTACACAAAGTTGACTGGTGTCATCATACTGGCCCCCCTACTTTGCTCTCTTGCTTTTGGAGTGGAGTTTCAGTTACTGGAACTAAATATAATAATCTGTAGAAAACTCCTGCATGAAAGAGATCTAGCCCATCCCTGGCCTTGCTTTGCTCAATATCGACACGCAATAACTTTACTGTTGCACATGACGACATTTTGCATATCCATTTGTGTGTATCTTCTTGCTCCTTTTTTTCTGAATCATTTTACAGATGTCTTAATACAGCAAGCAGCGGTGTGTGTATGCTAGGGTTTGCTGCTCAGAATTTATTTCTTGATCAGCAATTATACTACAGTTTTGAACACGGTGCTGATTATTTCCTTTTTATTTTTTACACACTCACTTTCTGCTTTCAACATTATAGGGTAACTGTCAGCACCCACAGGGCCAAGGATGAAAACAGAAGCTAAGGATGGAGAAGAAGAAAGTCTTCAGACAGCTTTCAAAAAGTTAAGAGTTGATGCAGCAGGGTAAGCAATGAGATATTGAGAGACTGTATAACCAGTGGTTTGCTAGGGAATCACACTGCAAATATGGAGTCATTGAGGCAGATAGCAAAGGATAGGCAGTGGAAGGCTTAACTATAGCTCAACAAATTGACATTTTTTTTTTAATTGTAAGAGTTTGCAATTTGATTAGCTGTGGGGATTAGTAAATGGGATACAGAGCACTTCACATCTAGGTTGCTGACTGAAGTCCATTCTGGGCTAGCAGTCACAAACATGGCTGCTGTTTGATAGCTGCCAACTGAAATGAATTATCATGGTTATCATAAGGGTACATGTTATTGAATGCTATTAACATAACTAGG